CCCCATGCCTTCCCAGGGTGCATGCAGCAGCAGGAGCTGCCACCCCCACCCCCCCTGCACCCTCTGGATGAGCTGCTTGCAGCTCCATCCCGTGTCCCGCCCTGGCTGTGCAGTGCCTGCCACAGCCTCACTCTGTCCCTCACCACAGGGGCCTCTATCTACACCCCACACCCTTCCCTCTCCCCTTCCTCCACAACAGACTTACCAGCTGGATGCTGCTTCCCAAGCTGCCCAGTCGCATATCGGAAATCGGATCAGTACCCACTGATATAGCTCTTTAAAAATTGGCCGTTGGTATCAGCCCAAAAACTCTTTGTGTACCCCTCTTTTTAAAGCATGTTTGTATCCTCAAACACCTGTTTCTTAAATAGAGGCAGTTCCCCAAACTATTTTTAGGTAGGTAATTGGGTAAAGGTGGTTTGGGAGATGGAGTGGTTGCCTCGAATTTTGTTTGGCATACTGTGGTAGCTTAGTTGAATGTGGGGTTTCCTTTGCGTGGTGGTCAGCAATAGGGGCTGATTCCAACAAGAAAACATTGGTATAGAAGTTGCTTTTTAGACTTACAAGACTTCTTGATCCTTAACTGAGTGCCTTATCTAGGTTGGTTTGTTAAGCAAACCATTTTGTGTGTTTTATTTTATTTTTTAAAAGGAGAAGATTAGTATCTGTTTATGTTTATATGGTTCAGGTAATTTCACATATGCTGATACTAGGGGTGGGCCAATACCAATAGCCAATTTTTAAGGAGGTGTATCGGCTGATACCAATCTGATTTCCAATACTCAGCTCTTGAAGAGCTACGTCTAGCTGGTAAGTCTGGTATGGTGGAAGGGGAGGGAAAGAGTGTCAGGTAGGGCAGATCAAGGTCCCTGAAGTGAGGGAGGGAATGGAGTTGGAGCTGCGGCTGGGACAGGTGCTGACCAGCCAGGATGGGGAGGGGCGTGGAACAGAGCTGCGAATGGCTCACTGGGGGTGGGGGCGTGTGCCCCCCCCCAAATATGTGTGGCATGGGGTGGGCTGCAACTTCGGGCTGGGGCCAGGACAGGCGCGAGATGGAGGCGCAGCTCATTGAGGGGCACGGCTCCTGCCCCTGCACGTGGCTCATCCGATGCTCATCTGACAGCTCCCACCACTGCTCCCACCACTTACCCCCAGATCTGCCTGGCTGGGAAGAGCCTGGTCCCAGCCCACCCCACACAAGTCCAGGGGCACACGCCCCCTCCATGCCCTCTTGGATGAGTGAGGGGAGCAGCAATGGGAGCCTCCAGATGAGCTCCGGATAAGCTGTGCACAGCGGCAGGAGCTGCCCCTCCCCCTCGTCCTTCTCCCTTTCTGCGCCCCTGGAAAAGCTGTGCCTCCATCCTGCCCTGGCCCTGGCTGGGCAGCCCCAACCCCACACCCGCCCTCACTGTGGGGGCCTTGATCTGCCCCCACATACACCCATCCCCCCTCCTCTTCCCCTCCCCCCACACCAGACTTACCAGCTGCACGCAGCACTCCACACTGCCGGGTTGTGCTCCTCACTGCCTACGGCCTGTGTGCAGGCATGGGCATTTATCGGACAAATTATTAGCCACATCGGGCCAATTTCCGACGCACAAAATTTTCTTTATATTGATGCTGATCCGATATCAGACTGATGTATCAGTGCACCTCTAGCTAATACAATTCTTATACTGGCAGTTGCATTCAAGCTTCCTCATACTCCCCTTGTATTTTGCAGTTAATAGACTGTTTTCTTCTTTTCCTGAACTCTCCTTTGATTTTTGATAGTCCTAATAAAGATGTATCCAGAAGCAGTTGCATTTCTGTGGAAGGTGAAGTAATTGATCTTACTTCTTGCTAAAAATATTTGTACTAATGGCTGCCTACCTATGTAAGGTACTGATACTCAACACTTTTAACAGGATGCATTTTGGATATATGCAGCTGTCACTGGTAACTAACTTGACTTCTCTATGGTGAAAGGGGGGCGCAGAAGGTAATTGGTGAGGCTCTACTCACCAAGGCGCCCCTGTGGGT